AATAAAAAATGGAACATTTAACAAACACCGAGACCTGTGTAACTTTGTTTTGTCAACATGGTGCCTAAAAGTATAAACGTGAACATCACTGATCGGGATAAAATCAAGGGAAATAAGATGGAAGTAAAGGCCTTCTACACGACAAATCGCTGTGTTTAGGGTAATGCGTTCTCAGGCCCCTATTTTGCACTTTTTAAAAAGAAACGCATGACTATGCAATGCTTGCTATTTTCGTATAATTACGAGAAATTTAACAAAAAGCACGTTGGATGAAGTCACATGACCAGTAAGAGGGGTTGATAAAAATAAACATCACACACGGAGCCACAAAGCAACATCAACAGGGGCCATACTTAGGCCTGTCCTGACAGCACAGGCATGGAAAAATATGAATCCCCATGTGTTAGCAGAAGGAGACGAATTGGTTCAGCCGCGCTGCTGAACGCACAGAGGAGGGGAGGAAAAAGTTGGTATCGAAATATATGGAAGCCAGCTTCAGAAACGGATACGCGGAATCCTAAAGGTTCGTCAAGTGTCGTACTAGTTAGGAATCAGGTCAAATAAAGTCGTATATGGTCCGATGCAGGCACACGAAAAGTGAACTTGCCTTGATACAACTAAACCAGAAAATACACTAATTATTTTTTTAGTGTACAGTCAACTGTAAAATCACACGTCCCAGTTAGCTGACAACGGGTAACTTGTGGAAATTTAATGTCGGCCGAATAAGTTCAATTGGCGTAAAAAAGGCCAAAAGTGATACCGGACTCCTCTGTGGTAGTTGTAAGGTCGTAAATACTCAAGAATCTTGGACAAATTCAAATCCACAACTCGTAGGTCAGCCCATGCAACACCATGATCCCACAAGTGTTACACCAGTAGGTTAGCACAAAACCAGACACCTCACCCGCATCTACACACCTACGACAGCAATGTGACGAGTAAACAACAGTCTGCAAGGTAAAAGATGTATGCTAATTTGGCACCATTCCCCTTTTAATTTCAACATATGCTGATTTAATACAAACTAAGAAATGGGAGAAGGAGACAGAGATAGATACATAAGCAAACCGAGTTAAATCGACGCCAAGCCGACAAGGGGATGAAGGTAGCAGCACATAAATGCGCATCAAACTTCTACTAACCTGCCCAATGTTGCTGCTGGCTGGGGTAGTGATGTTGCGTAGGAACACTGTGCTGGGCTGAAAGACTATCGTGACACGTCAGAGAGACAGAAGACACTCGTTGTATCGAGGGGACCTGCGATGATAGCGGCGGTGGAAGCGACGACGATGAGGGTGGCGGCGGTGGAAGAGAAGGGAGTGGTTGACGCTTTGCTGTCGGTTCGTCCTCATCATCAGACTCCGTCAGGTCGATCATCACTTCCGTATCGCCAGCGTTCTACGCAAAACACGTTTGAAAACTTTTCAAAAAGGCGGCTTATTACTGACACAACCTAGTAAAGATGCATGCCCCAATTGTTGCTAATTAATTTATTACTTGGGCAAATAAAGGCGTGAAATTTAGCAGTCATCTAGGCAGGAACAGCACGGAAAAACCCAAAAGACACCACATTCGCATAGTTTATAGGAGCACGGCTCCGATGTTGACGCAATCCCTGTGAGTGACATAATTCGGAGTAAAGTAAAGCTTCCTCTCATTAAAAAGGCGACACGAAGGCGAATAAGTCACTCAATCGTCAATGCACAATTCCAGTGCAACTTTCAGGAAGGCGTAACAAGTACGGCAACACGTGACAGCGCAACGCAAAAGGAAAATTGCCCAAATATGATACTAGTTGTGATAAACGTATGAGTCTTAAAAGCAATCCATGGCAGAAAAAATTCATAGTGGTAAATACAATCCCAAACTCGCATTCCCACAACGCCAACTGCTAGGTTAGAAAAAAAGAAATACTTTGACATCGTGAAATACAAGCAAGTCACGGAGACAAGCCTTAAAAATGGGGTATGCTAGGTACCTCATTGCATGCGACAGCATTGGCACTTCCTGCAGAACCTCTCTTCAAACCAGACGAAGATTGATTAAGACAAGCAGCGTCACCGTTCAAAACAGAGGAGGGAGATGATGGCCCATCCGATTTGCAAGAGACCCCGCTGGTACAAGCGGGCCTCATCGTGGTCCAGGACCCGTTCTCGTTGAAGACTATCTCTTCCACGTCTTGCGACTCTCTTGTCGCCAGTATATCCATAAGGAGGCTGAAAAGGTTAACAGTTGTTCCAGTATGCAGCTAATCAAATAGCTTAGATCAATCTACAGCCGCATCATCAGGGTCCCAAAAAGATCAACAAGATCAATCCACAAAAGCTGTCCCACTTAGGTGTGCTGCTCATAAAGCCGGAGTGTAATCATCATCAGGCAAGGGTCACTTTACATATTTTATTGTTCAAAATCCAATTGTGGTAATTGTAAGGGGATAAGGAGCAGATCACATGCCGCTGGTGTCGAATGTTAAATGGGTGACAGTTATAATTAAATCAAACAGGTAATAAATAGAACACACCGGGTCTGAATTCACGGCTCTATTTGAAGTGAAAACGAATGAGTATGAAACGAGTGTTTTTTCGGTCCCAAAAATAAAAATTAAGGGTGATTTTAGGATTACTTCAATTAACATGGTTTGCCTTGCCACGATGGCATTCTGCCGTCATCAGCTGGAGGCGCCATCAATGAGCCTTGGGGGAAAAACACTACAAAAGTTTGAACAGGCCTCAGTGGTGCAGAGGTGAGCATGAAGTGCAGAAGCACTTAGTAGGATACAAAATAGTTTTCATTGGAAGATTTGCCGTCAAAACAGGAAAACAACTCGTTAGCATAGCATAGATGAAAAAAATTAAAGCAACACCTCAAAAAATAACAAAGTGGCGAGGCGACTAAAAATAGCTTAGGGCGGATCACGTGACTGAACACAAAGGCGTACGGAACTACCTACTCGAGAAAAGAGCGAGAAAACGCATTTAGAAGCACTTCGACACTTTTTTACCACATCAATGCCATGGTAGCACACTCTGAGTGTAGTTTGGACAGCATCGTCATGAAATCCGCCTATACGTACCGAATCAAAAAAGATTGTAACCGGAACCAGACTCATCAATCTAGAAAACAAACTTCTCTTTTTCCTACTTTGATCAACCAACTACATAAATCTTCACACAGTCTAAAGGACAAATACGCCCAACTTCCCTTCCTAGCAGATCTGACGGAGAAATTTAGGACTGCGTACTCACCCATCGACAAACAGCTCATGGAAGGGAGCCAGTGAGTCACAAACGGGGCACTTCCAAGCAGGTTTCCGTTCATTAATGAGGAGATAGGTGTCAGCGTCGTAACACTGGATATGCTGGCACCTTTGACCTCTCACAGGCAACTTGATGCGACACTTGGAGAGAGGACAGAGTAGTTGCACGGGCAAGGTGTTTTGAATTTGCAAATCATCGTCATCGCTCTCGTCCATCACCTCATTGTCGCTGCCACCGCCACAGGATGTCACAGTAGAAGCAAGCTTGTCCACTATTTGCCTCTACGGAAGAACAAGTTTCCAACAGGCCCGGTTACACCAGGTGAATAAGAGGTCAGTGGAATTTTTGTAACAGAAATGACTTAGACAAATTAAAATATTAAAAAAATAATGCGACAGTGGGAGTGAAATAGAGTAAAATACACTACTCATTATCAGATGTCCTATGAAACCACCCCGTACCTGGACAACCAGAGCAGGCCGGTACGCATGCGTTCGAAGGGCCTCGCATAGTTCTTTGGTTGAGTGCTTTTGAACGAGGTATATTGCAAAAAAGTTGTAGGAAAAGGTTGAGTAATCGTGCGACCAAGACAGTTTCACATGGTTGGATACAGACGGAGAAACACGTAGCTAAATGGAAATGTGGTTCATGTATACGACGTACGTGCTTTGGCATGGGAAAACAATATTACTAAAGCACTCTAGTGTGAAAAAATTCAGCAATCAACCTCTAATGTAATTATGATGTTAATTAGCTACATTTCCAACTCCAGAAATCGCAAACGCTGAAATAAGGCATAAACTAGACGTATGCCACCGTATACAAAAGGGTTGGATTACTGAAGATGGGTTTCAGTGTGTTACAACTTGGTACTTTATACCACGTAAACACAGTATGAAATAAGTGCTATAAAAAGAATAGCTAGCTAGAGGATGGGTATTCAATGAGCGTGGAAAGTAGCATACCAAGGGTGTAATGTTAACCGGTCGGGCGTAGCGTCGACCATCCATATTAGGTCTACAGGTTGGGAGCAACGGCGGGAGCATGGCTTGCTTTACATTCACAAAAATATTGAGATGAATAGGCATGCTATCGGCAAATGGTGCGAGGGCAGGTTCGCTTGAGTCCGGAGTCGAGGCTGCAACAACCTCCGGTAGTAAAGAAGGCTCAAGTTTACCGAAACGCATTAGCACCTGCACGCCGAAATCCCGGCGGTTGCCATCAAGTCGATGACTTAAATCAAAATTCAAAAACATCAAATGGGACTCGACCTATCTCCAAATAACAGCCATATTAACGATTCATTGACCATTTAGATGAACTTAAAAAATACTGTGCCATTACAACCTAGTAGCAGATACAAAAGTCATTTTGATATTGGATATAACCGTTCAGCTTTAGTGGGACAAAATTCCATCTACGAATGCACGAAAACGCTTTAGATAGATTTATCGGGGCAGCCTAGTAAATCCATAACTTGCGTCTTTCACCATTTTAACCAGTGTCTAGGTGCCTTAGGTTCTATGTGACAAAAGTTCTAAACTACGTTTAGATGAATCATTACTTTCTAGGACAGTTTAAACCGCCTTCCAAAACCTGTCAATCAAAACGTGCTACAAATGCACTTTTTTAAGAACCAAAACTGACTCCTGCTTGTGAAGACCAAAATTGAAAATTTCGAAACTAGCCATGATTACGAGAGCTGACAATGTTTAAGCGGAAAAGTTGTGAAAGTAGAAAATGACGGTACCTATGGTAAGTGATGGTTTCAGCTTGATCCGAATTGATACGGAAATCAAGCAGACGTTCGTAAGTTCGCTTGCCAGGAGTGAAGTTGTATGCGGAAGGCGTCATTATGGTAGGAGGAATAATCACATCCAGAATTTTGTAGAACGGAGATTCCTCGAAACGCAACAGGGGACAAAGTGGAAGCCGCAAAACCCCATCAGCTAACAAGAATGCAGGAAAATCATGGTCAAACCAACTGAAGCAGCAAACCTAGTAACAGTAAACCAGTGCACAAAATAATTCACAAAGGAGCTAAATCGCATGGGGTGATCATCGTGGGCATGGATATATCCCAAAATCTATGGAGCCAAGCTTGGATATCATGACGAACAAATAAAAACTTACGCATTGGCAACGTTATAAATCCGCTGTTGGTCTGCATGTTTGCTCGAGATTGTTCACGATTATTCTGACTGGTAGTAATCCAATTATGAGGATCCATGGGAGGGCCAGTAAGCCTCATATGGCCAGAACGCAAGTTTGGTTGGGCTAACTGATGTTGATGAGGTAATTGCAGCGAAGGAATTCGAAGAGAATTCACATTTTGCTGCATTCGTATTAGTTGTTGCTTATTCACATTGTCGACATTCGGTTGAGTTCCAGAGGTGATTTCGGGCATTGATGCTCCTAATATAACAAGACGAATAAGCAGCAGCAAACAAAATACCGCAAAGGCGATACAAGAAGGTAACCATACCGTTAAGAGCAAGAGTTTGGATATCGCCTGGACGAAGACCATATCGAGACATAGTTGTTTGCATCATTAAATTAACTTTCGAAATAAACTCGTCAGACGGACCAACGTCAATGTAATTGAGGAGCCTGACAATAAGTGAATCCTTCAATCCGCTTGTGGGTAAACCAGCGGTCTTAAGTAGACTTTCAAGGGTTTTTCTTTTGCATGAATGAATGTACTCCTACGGAAAAAATAGATCGACGCTGAAAACAAACAACCTTTAAGCTAGTCTTAGAAATCATCCAAAGTGGCGCCGCAGGTTAACTAAAACATTAAAAACAAAAGCCGTGTCAGCTGAAATTTTGTGGTATTGGCAATCTGAATTTTGAATTTTTGTCGTGCTAAATTTATAGAAAATTTGGAAGGACCAACTTTGTATGGGTTAATTGACCGGCGGTAATTTACAAAGGGGGTCTTAACTAATGTTCCAGGTACTCCCCTTTCTAGGAAATGATTAAAACGACAGTACAAAGGACGTATGAGCAGGCATCCTAGCCCTAAAACCTTTTCAATTGCTTTTATGCTTTATACTAGGATTATTCATTACAGGGAACAACCTTAATATGATTCGTTGGATTTCCTAGACCTTTGTCAAATGTTAGAGGGACCTTTTCCATCCAATGCACAATGATGTTCGTTAACACCGTAAAATACGAAACAAAGGGTCAGGTAAAACTCATTATAACGTTGGAAGCCTAATAAGACCAAATGGATCAATCCATCACGAGTCTTTAAATTCAGTGACTTTTACCCCTCTTAAGCTAAAACGGTGTTGCACACTCGATCGCCATTGATAGGACTTTACGTTTTTTGTGTAATGCGTTGGCTATTTAGCGGTCAGTTTTGGTGAAGAGACACCTTGATTTGGCCGTTGTGCCTCGACGGGTGGGAGGGCGTTTGAGCTGTGCCATTAGCCCCAGTAGCTTCTACATGTCGAAAGCACATATTACAGCATCTTGAGGCTACTCTGAAGACAAAAAAGATATAAGACTTGGGCAGAATACATGCATATTCGATACAGAGAAGGTATTTGGGCTACTGGTCTGGCCCAAAGGCCAGCCCACCCGGCTTGGTACAAAGGCTAAGTCAAAGGTGGCGCCACGCCAATACCAAGAGATAAACTTCTACGTATTACATAGCCCCTCCCCTCTCTTGAGCGTCTTCCCAGCCCCCCCCTCCCTGGTCACCCTCACGCGCCAGACAGCAAAAATTAGTCGGTGCTGTAAAGAAATACCCGCGACCCGGCCGCGCCAGTCACCAAATCTTCATGCAACTGAGGAGATACTTGACGTCAACGTCACTGATCCCTCTTGGCAATTTAACTGGATGTGGAGTTTCGTCTGGTTTTGGAACTTAATTCGGGAACAGGGAGTTGCGCTAACCAGCGTTCGTGTCCACAAATAGATGTAGGAACACTGGCCTACAAGCAGATTTGTGTATGGAAGGACGGGATTTAATACAGGTCCATGAGGGAGGAGCTTCGCGGCCATTCCTTCTTGCCACGTTTTTCCTACTTTGGAGCTGCTACAATCTATTCAGTTAGTAAGGCGATGGAGGAGGCATCGCAATTGCACTTTATCAACAGATTTATGTTGGTGTGGTAGGAAAAGTCCGTAACGAAACTTCCAGATAGTTCACGACTGGTGTAGCTTCAGCTGTTAATAGTTTTTCTGCAGTACAAGGGACTAAGGCAGATGCCGAGGGTTGGCACCAATTTCAGTCCTTCTGTTTAGGGTCATCGCCATTCTCCCATCCGCCGTATATGTACTTCTTTCGCTCCGCTAAGAAAGATGTACGCCAGGATCGAGTTCGCTTTTGGTTGCCACCAATGTAGCGTCTCAAGACTTCTCTGAAGACGAAAGAAGACATGCCACTCAGGCAGAATATATATGTTCGGCACAGAAAAGGTACGTGGGCTATCGGCATGGCCCGAAAGCCGGCTCACTCGGCGTGGCACAAATGCAAAGTCAGAAGTGGCTCCTCGCCAATACCGAGGGATAAACAACCAATGTGTTGCAATATTCTGGCCTAGTATTATGTCTTCTTCCGTCTTCAGGGAAGTCTCGGAGCACTTCACCTACAATTTACACGATTCTCTTTAAAGCCGTTCAAACCACCGCCACTGATGGGACGTGGCTACTAAAGGTTCGGTAGAGGTTGCTTTTTCTTCCACAAAGGAGTGATTCGATAACGAACAACCAAATTTGTAGCTGGCCAGTGTTTTAAAGTTTCTGTTAGGGTAAAATGCAAAAGGTTCCGAAAAGCATATAAGTATCCGAGTGATGAATACTTATTCTTTCGTTTTGATAAAAAAATAGTTTTTTGAGTCCAAACAAGCAAAACAATGCCGCACACTGATTTTTAGCATATTCTATCACATTACACTATTTTCGTTTTTAAAAAAGTAAATACATTTGCCTAAAGAAATAACAACTCACCAGCTTTTCAATCCCTTTTGAGCCACATTGATTAGCAATGAGTGTGTTATTTTCATAGAAACAAAGTTGTTTTAAGCCCTTTTAATAAAAATAGGAGAAGTGTTAACTTCTGATTATTACATTTGTAGTTACTTGAAGTACCAGGCATGTCGAAGTTTGTTTATACCGGTGACGTAAATCGAAATCCTCATATCCAGTAATTATCAGCACAAATCAAAATTTAAGATGAAGGATAAGTCTAAGCCGAAGCGGGCCCTCTCTCCCTACGCCGTTTTCGTGCAATCAATGCGTGATGAGCATAAGAAGAAGAACCCGTCAGCATCGATTGATTTTTCGACGTTTTCGAAGGAATGCTCTGCCAAGTGGAAGGTAAGACTTTGCATGTTACTATTTTGGTAGGCTCTATCTGCCAAGGAAAAGAAAAAATATGAAGATATCGCGGCGAAGGACAAGGAACGGTATCAAAAGGCCATGAAGAACTACACACCGCCCTCTAGTGATGACAAGAAAAAGAAGAAGAAGGATCCTAATGCTCCGAAGAAGCCTATGTCCGCTTTCTTCCTATTCTGTCAAGATGAACGTCCTAAGGTCCGAGAGGCTCATCCAGATTGGTCTGTTGGTCAATGCGCAAAGGAACTCGCTTCTCGGTGGGAGCAATGCAAGAATAGGTCGAAATATGAAACTCAGGCTTCTCAGGAGAAGGCCAAGTATCAAAAGGCAATGGAAAAGTACAATGCAAAGAAGGGCGATGACAGTTCGTAAACCATCGAGGCCAGGCTCTACGTTTTCCGATGCATTTTGTAATAGGGTCTGATTGTCTCGGTTGATGTTCGATCAATTTTTACCCCGCGTGTTATGTATATTTGTCCAAAAGTACCTACTACTGTTACATGGACTTTTTATATGCATGTATTTTATCTGAAATATAATATCAAGTTTGTAAAAAAATATATGCTGATTTAGACCTTGGTTTGGTTCTCTCCAGTAGGTTTTGTAGTCTGCTCTATGGGTTAGGTTTGTCGCCTGTGAATATTCAGCCTTGCAGGGGACTTGGATGGTTCTGCCTAACCAGGGGTGGAGGCCATCCAAGTAGCTCTGGGGGTCTGTCTGCCGTCAATGTCGGTTGGCCGTCATTCGTTCGCGAATCGTATTCTCCCTCGGGCCCCATACTATTCTAGGATCTTGATGTGTAAATGGGCGTATTTCCGACTTGTGTTAATCTCGTGTACATTGTAGGTTATTCTGACCGTGAGGGTCATTCCTCAAGTCGGGACGCACTGTCGTAGGAATTCCGACAAGGTGATGGGAGTTGGTCATGCCAAACTGGTAAAGGGACGGTTTGACCCAAACGTTTCCAGTATTTCTTTGCTGCGGTACTGGCCCTGGCTTCTCTCGTGCAGTTCCTTGTTCTCATGTTGGCCTCGCTTTCATCGCGTGAGCGCTCTCAGAATTTCTGGTGGATCTGGATTGTCGTTGTAGTGCATCAAAAGCATATTATGAACTGAAACAGATTTGCGGCACTTTTCGTATCTTACGTTAGCCCATTATTCCTAAATTAGTCGTAATAGGTTTTTTAATAAGAAGCATTCAAGTTAGTGCTTTTTATGCTTTGATTGCTAACATAACTAGGACTCACTTCATCGTCCTCAATGTATGGAAAGTTTGTAATCTCTGGATAGCCTCGTTAGGCTATTCCACATCGTCGTGTCGTCAGTCGTGGATCAACTCCACTTTGGCCGTATTTTGAGGCATTGTCATTCCCATTTCAGCCTGATCAAATGTCATATATTTTCCTTTTCAGCATCTTCGACCATTTAGATAGTTGATATTTACAGGAGCAGGTCATCGTTTCCTGACTAGGTGGGTCAAGTGCATTGTACTAACGTCAGTTTATTGTGTGTCGACTTGGTAATAAATAATTTTTACAGGGCAGAACATTTTCAATCGCTATCCAATGAAAGGGACTCACAACTTGGATGTAAAAAGTGTAGGGATTAAATGCTACACCTCGAAAGGCTGAGTAAACAAATTAAATTCACCCATCCGTATACTTCGTGATATAATGTATACTGTGCCTAGCTTGAAGAAAATGCGGAGTGTTTCTACCATCAAGGGGGAAAAAAGAGCTCACGTGTAGAGACAGACCATCGTCCTATCCGGTGACAACCTTACTGTTGCGGATCCCTTCGCATTATCTAGTTGGAATGCAACTTCGGTGCCGAAAAACCCAACACCCAGTGATTGTTAGTCGGGGACAATGCTTGCGTACTGAATCAGGAATTAGTGCGGGCTGCTTAAAAAATCCACAATGCAGTATGACTCTGCACTATCACTCAAAGTGGACTAACATTTTTAACTGAACGGGTATTGATGGTAAACAAAATTAACTCTCAAATACCTCAAGCTGGCCCAGAGAACATCTATTTGGTACTTTCTCCCAACCATCAGACTGGCTTATTGTTAGCTTTAAAGCGCCTCTTTGGTTAAGACCACATGTCATTCTGTAAGTTGATCTCTTTAACCCCGAGAAATGCACTTCTTTTCCATTCCATTTTAACAGTAAATCCGCGTGATTTCTGACTACAGTCCAATGCCTGAATGTGCTAGGCTCTGAATGCTTAAAGCGGGCAGTGAGACGGGCAGCCGTCATTACTACCTGGAGGTGGGCATGCGCGTTCTGCGACCTATGCCGCTGCTTCTGCTGCTGCTGCTGCTGCTACCACTGCCACTGCCATTGCTGCCTGCTTCGCTTCGCGTGTACCTACGCGTTTTCGCCTAGCCTCCATTATAATCAATGCAATTCACTGTTGCCATAGGAAATAAACGCATGGATAGCCTCGTAGTTCTGTATACGCATACATTTGTCCAAGTGACTCATGTATTCAAGGAAATAGGACTCCTCAATACCACCAATTTTGTAGGTAATCTGTTATTTCGATGGAATAAATCTGTCTCACCACTTGATTGTATGCAGTAGGGCAGCTAGGATAAGCTGATTTGCATCGGACAGATGTTACCCGGTCCCCTTTGTAATAAGTCCACGGTTTACTCCTTACTGAAATCATTTAATGGGAACTTGTAGGCCAAAGTGTTGAAGGCAGTTGTCTGGTCTTTATGGTGACAAACTCTTCTTCCTCATCCATGCAGTTTGTGAACCAAGTACTCAAAGAGCAAATGCATGAGAAGAATGTGAATTACCATAAAAGTCGTTGAATCCAAAATTGTGGGAGCTGGGAAGTGAGTGTGACGCAGTTAATTGTAATTGAGGTTGAACCACAGCCACTTGCGTACATACGTGTACGCACAGCGCAGGGAATCAGCCCAACCATGGAGAGAATTTATTCAGCATGAATCACGGTGGTGCGTCCCGCCGACTCCCGTGCTAACATGTGGCTCGGAGGGCGAGGACGACGGGACAGAGGAGATGAAGTCAGGCCCCCCCGGCACCTCCTTTGGATGAGTCACCAGACCTCGAGATTATGGGTGTATGTCTATGGCCTCAATCAACACAACACACAAGTATCGCGTGGCACTAGGTGCTCATTGGCCTCCGGCTACGCATTCACCCACATCACTAACTCAGGTCCCCTGGCCCAAGCCATACCGCCTTATATTGACTGTACAGCCAATAAAATTGCGGACGATTGGTTTTCACATGACAGACATCGTTTACATGTGAACCATGTGTCGTTAGGTTTTGCAATTCAACGATGTCTTGGCCTTATCTCAAGTCATGACTAAGACTAATCTGGTTTATCTTTAGTCGTAGGTAAAAATTTGGTCAAGCTGGAGGAAACGAAGTGACCACCTACAAGGGAAGGAGAATAAGGGTGAATGCGTTCACAGAATAAAACAACAACAAAGCGCTTAGTTAATTAAAAATTGGCCCTGAAAACAACTTCACTCAACAATGGCATGAAAAGAGTGACTTGTAAGTGAAATTTAGTTATATAATACCCACCTGCACCACAAGAACTTGTGGGTGTTGCAGAATAAGGTGCCTGAATAAGTACGTACACAAACCTAGTCAACTAATTTAGATCTCAGATGCCTATTCTATTTTCTGATTTCTATTTGCAAAGTAATAATGTAATCATCTACCATTATGACCGAGAAATGGTCCTAGCCACTTCCAGCTTAAAAAAATATCACTAGAAGAGGAGGCAAAAGAGAGTGCTGATGAAGATGAGGATAACTAAGTGGGGTTGCGACGATTTCCACCTCACATCATATCACATTACATCCGATTCGAAAGTACAAGCTCTCACACATTCTAATCAGTTTTGTGGCATGTGATTTGGAGACCTATGGTATGCGCAGCTCTGTGTCGTCAAGAGCAGCACCCTCCATTCATACACCTCCTTCTCTGTGCTTCTTGTTTCTCGAGCTCGTCTTTTGCACACCCTCATGCTGTATCCTATCCACTTATATCGAGTGGCTCCCGATCTCAATCGCATTTATTTTATCAACCACAAGCAATTCACTGTGAATAATTGAAATTACACTCACCACATACACTTATCACACACACACAC